TTGCCTCTGTTTTGCCATTGCTTTGCTCTTGGCTTTTGTTTGGTTTCGTCTTGGTTTACCTTTGGTTCGCCGCTGGTTCAATTTTTGCTTTGCTTTTGGTTTGGGTTTGGCTAGAATTGTCTTTGCTTTCGGCTTGGGTTTGGTTCGCTTCTGGTTTGCGTTTGGTTTGCGCTTGGCTTTCCTTTGGTTTCATTTTGCATTACCTTTGGTTTGCCACTGGTTTGCTTTTGCTTCGCTTTTGGTTTGGGTTCGCTTCTGGTGCGCGTTTGGTTTGCTCTGGGCTTTCCTTTGGTTTTGTTTTGGTTTACCTTTGGTTCGTAATTGGCTTTGTCTTTGGCTTGCTGTTGACTTGCCTTTGGTCTGCTTTTGGTGTGCTTCGGTCTTTTGGTCCACATTTGGTTTGCTTTTGGTCTGCATTTGGTTTGCCTTTGGTTTGCCTTTGGTTTGCGTCGGATTGGTTTTGGTTTGCCCTTGGTTTGCTTTGGGTTTGGCTTTGGCTTGCGTTTGGGTAACCGTTTGTTTGCCTTTGGTTTCCTTGGGTTTGCATTTGGCTTGCTGCTGGTTTCCTTTGGCTTGTTTTTGGTTTGCTTTGGGTCGGCTTTTGCTCTGCATTTGTTTTTTCTGTTGATTTGCCCTTGGTTTGCTCTTGGCTTTCCTTTGGTTTCGTTTTGATTTACTTGTGCTTCGCCGTTGGTTTGTTTTTGGCTTGCTTTTAGTTGGGGTTGACTTGTTTGTGGTTTGCCTTTGGTTAGCTATTGGTCTGCCTTTGGGTTGCTATTGGCTTACATTTGGTTTGCTTTTGGTTTCGCGTTTGGTCTGCTTTTGGTTTAGCTTTGGTTTTACTTTGGTTTGTTCTTGGTTTGCTTTGGGTTTGCTTTTGGTTTGCCTTTGGCTCGCCTTTGGTTTGCTGTGGGTTGACCTTTTGCTTGCCTTTGGCTTACCGTTGGCTTGATCTTGGTTTGCCTTTGGTGTGCCTGTTGTTTTGCTTTGGTTTGCTTTGGGTTGATTTTAGTTTGCGTTTGGGTTGCCTTTGGTTTACCTGCGGTTTGCCATTGGTTTTCTTTTGGCTTGCTTTTGGCTGCTTCTGGTTTGGGTTTCGTTTGCTTTTGGCTTGCTCTTGGTGTGCCTTTGGTTTACTTATGGTTTGCCTTTGGTTCGTTGGGCCCAAGCCAGCTAGACCCAAGTCAGAGAAAGCCAATATCTGCACAACCCTTCTAAGCGCTAACGCGCATGCACTCCCGAAATGCCCAGCCAGCACATTGGCCCAACGAAAACTGCCCCGCTGAAAACTGCCGGAATATTAGCAACAACAGGGGGTCTCTCTGCGACGAACAGAGCTTGCGCGGACGCAATCAGTGTGTAGGATGTTCCAACAGGCGATGTTCTCGCCCAGTGCTTTCAATAGCCTCTTGTTTGTAGGGAACGAATGGAAAGCACGACTAAAATACTGAACGGCGACAGACTCCAAAGTTACCTACTGAAGAAGCGCCCGCAGACCGAAAGCGATAGCCAGTGAACGCCGAGCGCTAAAAGCATCCAAAAAAGACGCCTAAAATTTAGCCGCCTTTTTGAAGCCATTGCTGCGTGCTTTTGTTTGGCATTTTTTTGGTCAAAGAAAGACGGCTATTTCTCCGCTTCTCCTTGCTTCCTTACTGCTTGCGTGTTTCGCGCTTGGACCTGCCTCGGGGATGCTGGGGGTGCTGGCAGCCCAGCCACTACGCGGGGTGCTGGGGAAGCCAGGGATGCTGGGGATGCTGATGCTTGGGCTTCATCTTTCGTTCGAGGAGCCTCTCCCCCTGTAGGCAACTCTCAACCGCTTCAAAGAAGCTCAGCACGCCCAAAAAAAAAGACCTACAAAACGTCCAAAAACACGTGAGAGGGATGGAGGGAGAGGCAGGTGACCCACATGTGTAGTTATCGTCAAAGCTTGCTTTGCAAACAAACCTGGTACTTCTGGCCACACCACTAGAACATGGAAGAAGCTTTGAAAATGCTTTTACAAGGGCCATCCAGTAATCCTACCAAGGGTTGCCGCACCTACAAACACTCACAAAGGCCCGTGAAACCAAAGACCACGCCCTTGGGCCACGCACATGCCAGCGCCCTGCCGCGCCGAGCACGTAAGATTCAGAGATGCCTGAACGACGTCGCTGCAGCAGTCCGAATTCACCCCGCTAACTAAGGGGCGGCAGCAAAGGCAAGTCCAGCCGCTGCATCGCCCAGCCCCGCGCCTTAAAGTTGCAGCGCTCAAGCTTCTTTGCCTGCCAATCAGGCTTTCGGAGTCGCAAGCCGGAGAGAGTCTTGCGATTCAACATGCCAGTAGGGAAGCGACGGAACAACCTTGTCAACATGTTCAAGCACGCAGCTCCGAAGAATGTGTAATGATAAAACCCTGGCGCTTACAAGTTCTTTCAACGCACAACAGCTATGGAGGCTGCCAAGAAGGTCCGGGATTACGGTGTCATCCTGGGGATTGGAGGGAGGACGAGCAGCTGTCGTGCATTGAAGAAGCATTCAAGAAGCACTGAGCCCCCATGTGTCACGGACATTTCAACATGGCGTTCCACAATGCCGCATTAACTTGTCAAATCACCAGACCTATCGGAAATAGCATTGAGCCGAGCGCAGCTCCTGCGATGCCTGGCGCAGAGCCTGTCGCCCCTTTTGGGCAAACCTGACGCTCTTTGCAATCAATCTGATTGTAACATGCGCCGAATTATGGTTGTACTGATCTACGCGGGTAAGACAAACCCCTGCTGGTAGGCACGCGTTGCGCAGTTCTTCTAGTTCGGGCATTACTTTTCCTAGCGCTCTGCACCAATTTGGCCTTAAAAATACCGCCCTTCAAAACCAGATGGGCTCTACTTTCAGGAATGTTTCAATCAGGCTTTAAAGAAGGCTTTTTTGCGCAGCACGCTGCGCGCAACTTCCGTAAATCCGGGCCAAACCAACAGTTTCTGCATGCGCGCGGCGCCCGTACAGAGCAAGATGGGGAATCGCACAAGCGGGCATGCAAGCGTGCAAGACCCGGCGTTGCGCCGCCCCTCAAGCGAGTCGTTTTCAGTTGAGTTGCCTCTGCAACTGGAGCTCGTCTGGTTCCAAGGACGACAGGCCCGCGCCACAGTCTGGCGTGAGTACCTCTTTCAAGGAAAAAACAATCCACTTGTTGCTGCCTCGCTGCCCTGCCTGCCAGTCTGCTGGCTGCAGTCTGCCTGCACTTTGCGAAAGCAGGTTGCCTGCAGCAACCTGCCTGCGCCAGTCGTAGTGAGCCTGAAGCAATCTACCCGCAGCAAATTGAACAAAATGCCTGCAACTGCAGCTGCTTCGCTTTCCTGCAGCAAGGTCGCTACGGCGATTTGCTTGCGGCAAGCTGAGAACAGCAAGTTTTTGAGCCGCGCGCTGCCTGCAGAAAGCTTCAACCGCTTGCTGTGACGCGAGCTGCTGCAACAAAGTGTTTGCAGTGAAGCGCTGGCGCTGAACAACTGCCTGCGCCAAATCGCCTGCAGCAGCCCGCCTGCAACGAGCTGCTTGCTGCTGACAGGCTGCTATGGCAAGACTGCTGCAGGAAGACTCTTGCAGGCAGAGCGCCCTGCAGGCAGACTCTGCCATTGCGTGCAGACTTCTGCAGACAGACTGCTGGCGGTTTCAGGCAGACCGCTGCAGACAGACTCCGGCAGGCAGCATGCTGCAAGCAGATTGCTTCGGGCATGGTTCTCCAGGAAGAGCGTTGCAGGCAGAGCGCTGCAGGCGGATTGTCAGGTAGACGGTACGGCTTGGCGACAAACGCGCAGCTTTCGCTGCAACTGCTTGCAGCGGCTGGTTCAGGAGTGGCTACAGCAACAAGTTGGAAGTCGTTCCAGCAACGGTCTGCGTGGCCCTCTGTGGCACTATGGGTGCTTGGGGTCTCTTCCCGCGCGCGCCTGCCGCCACTGCACTGCAGGGACAAGGAGGGCTTCAGAAACAGGCCTTTTAGCCTTTGGCTTGACAATGTTCAGCCTGACAATGTTTAGCAATCCTACGTCGCCGATGTGGGGCTGAAGCGTTTGGAGACAACAGGGCGGCTGCAGCAAGTGCTCGCTGCGTTGGTCGCGGGGCGTACGCTTAGTGCAAGCAAGGTCTTTAGCGGGCGCGAAGCGAAACATCTGCAGTGGCCGCGGCCAACGCACCGCGCCGCGCGCCATGGCTACAGCAGGCTGGCCCAGTCACAGAAAAGACAAGACTGTCGTGAAATACGGTTACAGCAACGGCGCTGGTCAGTCATTGCTCTGCGCAAGCAGACAAGCAAAACTACTGGACAAGCTTGCTCCAACAGGGCTGGGGGCCAAAGGGTACGTGGGCCACGGCAGAATCAGAGTCTAGATGTTGCCTTGCGCGAAGCCTCAGATGGGACTTGGCTTGGAGAACAATTGTGCAAGTCAATTGTGAGAAATTGCTTCGCAGGCGTGCGCTTGTAATTAAGCAGGAGCTTTCAAAGCACACAGCCGCGCGCCGCCGGAAAACATGTTTGCTGCTGGCAGCTGCCGCAGTGGCTTCTTTTTTCGAGGTAGGTTGTGTGTTGCGCGATGCTAGGCATGCTAGGCGTGAGAGGCGCTGCCGTTTCCTCATAGGTATCATAAAGGCAAAAGGCCCTAAAATTCGCATAATAGGCCTTCGGCCTCTAATGGTCCTTCAAAGCAATAGCACTTTATTATAGGACCCTTTAGGCTTTTTGCAACTTTTGAGGCCTAGTTGGTTATCAAAGGACTCCATTGCAGGGGCCTAAACGAACTTCAGTGCATTGCGCAGCTTTTTCTCGACTGGAAAACTGATGCCGCGAGGCATGCTGCTGCTTTCAGTAACAGGCTGCCAACAGCTGCAGCCAATGGTGATAGCGACACCAGCCTCAGATGTTCAAGGACGCTTCAAGCGATGCGACAATCGCTCCAAGCTCAGCCTCATTTGGTTCGGCTGTGTGTGAGGCACAAAAGCTCTCCCAGGGAACTCCAGGATGAAACTCTTGCTCAAAAAGCAACTCGGAAACACTGCAGTCCTGGAAGACTTGCGCCCTCCCGAGCACTCTGAGTATCCAGTCCCGCCTGCAGGAGCTCCCAGAGCTGGCCCTTGGCGTTCGACCTCACTCCGGTGAACCCAAACCAAAAGCTAAACAAGCTGAAGTTGTCCTGTGCGGTCAGATCAATCAAGGGCACTTGCACTCAGAAGCATGGCAATGGCAACGCTGTCAGGTTCCAACTCACTTTGGTCGCAAAACGGAATGAATCAAAAAGGGTATGAAACAAAATGCAGATCAGCAGGATGGCAAAGCCTATTCCAGATGGAAAGCGAACTGTGTGGAAACAGCCTGGTGGATTTGCAAGCAGTGAGGATTTTTTGGCTCGCCAGCTGCCAATCCAAAACGAAACTACAGTGGCGCGCACGATGGGAAACAGGTTGACGACACTCAGCTGTCCGACTCACTGGTTTCTAATATATCAGCATCCGCGCCTGCCTGAATGACTTCCAGGCGACGCATCAGAACTGCTTCGAGCGGGTTTAGTATGATAAGGTTTCTCAAATAGGTAGTGCGTGGTTTCCTGGCGGTTCGGGGCCTTTACACAACTTGCACGCGTGTCAACCAAATTGACCAACAGCGTGCTTCCATCGGACGCCTTCGTGTAAATTTTGGCTGCCATCTTAGACTACAGTTCGTGAACCAGCCTCGCGAGCCTACGCTGCAAAGGGTGCCTGCGCGAGCACAAGCTATCTTGCAGGCGCCTTCGCAGACGCCTACGCGGGCAAATATTCAGTTCAAGCGCAGCAAACGCAGTGCACTTTGGCAGCTCTAGCTGGCAAGTCGCAACACTTCAGTTTTGGCAGCTCCAGCTCTAACATCACCCTTGCAGTACAAGTGAAGTGGGAACCACACATGTGTCCTAGGATCTGGCTGCGCCCTGCGGTTAAGTCGGAATCCTGCTACTACAACTTCTCCGGCAGCTGGTGGAACCCTGGTGAACCCTGGTGCCCTGGTGGAACCCTTGTGGAACCTCACCTCAAATTAGCCCGGACCACCCCGCTGCCCTTGCAGAAATTGGTGGAACCCACCACCCTGACCACCCGGAACTCTGGTGAAACCAAAGCCCTCTTACCTCAGCCACAAACTGATGGCTGCGAACATCCTGAAACCCGGTGGAAGTCTGCTAGAACTTTCGCAGAACCGGTGCAAACCTGGTGTGGAACCTTACTTCAAACCTGGTGGAACCCTGGTCAAACGCCGCGGACCACCCCGGAGCCTATCTGGGCTGAGACCTCAAAGCTTTCAGCTGTTGGGGAAAAAACTTAGCATGGCCTAAAATAGGTGACGCGCGGGGGCGGAGGGGTGGGGCAAGGCTTTTTGGGAAAAGCCGGCGTCCAATAACCTAAATCAACCAGGAGGTCAGAGCCATTTCTGCAACTTCTATGTTAGCAGTCGCAAGTCGCTGGACAAGTTTGACGCTTCAACTTGTCAAACTTCTGCAGGCTAACGCGGAAGCTCGGCAATCAGCTGCAAAAACTAATCGCTTCCTCGGCCCCCTCCCAGTTCGAAGGCAGTACTTCCTGACTGTGCCATTTACCCACTGACATGGGCTCGTTGCGAAGGGGTCTTCTTACGCTCCAGCAAGCGAAACTAATAGGACTTCAAGTCAAGTTGAGGGAGCAAAAAAGGGGGGAGCCCAACAGTTGCGCGCTGTTTCAACAGTTGCGCGCTTTTTGTTGTCCCCCCTGTTTGCCTAAAAAATCAATATGCTCCGCGCGCTTCCATGTTAGTTGTTGGTTGGTCGCAAAACATGCTTCTGACTCCATGACTTGGACATGGTCCCTCTATGCGATCAAAAGCGCGTGTTCACTCCCAGCGTGCGCTTCGCATGGAGACGCTGCGCCCGCAGGCTCGCAAAATGGCGGTCGCAATCTACACTATTTGAGATTCCCAGTGCTTGGCCTCAATAGCAATAGTTTTTCGGGCTATAGGAGGAGCAGTTTCGCATATCCCTGAGAAAAGTTGTGAACAGGCATTTCCCCAGCACGCTCTGTCCGGCCTGACAAGACTGTCACCCCTGCATGTGTGTCATGCTAAGCGCATAAAGCAAGCAATATGTCGGCGCGTCGCCCTCCCCTTCGCGAACAGCAAATGATTTTGCAAAGCAGTGTTCATGGGCCATTCAAACTAAATTTGCCCGTGATGCGTTTCAGGTGATGCTGAGGGCGGGTGCTTGGCAGTTTCGCGGCCATTGAAAAAGGGGCTGCATGTAGCTTGCGTTTGGGAAAGCCCTGCGAAGGCTGCGTTTCAAATGATGCGGGGGCGCTGCTCATTGGGCGTTTGGCTGTCTTGCGGCCACTAAAACGGGGGCTAAACACGCCCTCGTTTGGAAAGGCTCCTCTGCGGAACAAAAAGCATGAGGATCACCACTGATGACGACGATAACTGTCCCCGCATGCCCATGATGACAATGATGATGATGAGCACCATGATGCTGATGATGATGATGAGCACCATGATGCTGATGATGTAAGTGAGGCCACGGTGATGATGATGATGATGATGATATGATGATGATGATGATGATGATGATGCGCACCATAACGATGCTGCTGATGATGATGGTAGTGATGAGTCATCACTGCGCACCAACACCGCCAGCAGGGATGATGACAAACATCACTACTCCTCCCCAATAGCAGTGACCCAACAGCAGCGATGATGGGAACCATCGCTATGCATCCTCAGCAGATGACAATCATCAGTATGCGCCCTCATCATCACCAGCAGCCATGGTGATAGTTTTGAGACGCATCTCCTGCGCCCCAAGTCCGGTCTAACGAGACACTTGAAACGTGTATCAAAAAGATAAGGGCGATGATGATGATGATGGGCACCATGATGAATTACCACTACGCATCCCCGACATCAACAGCAGGGGTGATGACAACCAAGACTACGCATCCACAACATCAGTGATGATGATAATCAACACTACGCGTCCTCAGCATCACCAGCAGTCATGATGATAATTGTCTCCTGCGTCTCAAGTGCTGTCTGCAGGGGCACTTGAAGCGTGTGTAAAATAGAAAAGGGAGACGACGACGATGATGATAAGCACCATGATGAACCATCACTTCTCACCCCCAACATCACCACCAGGAATGATGTCAATGATCGATACGGTTGGCAATCTCAGTGATGATGCTGATCATTACTAGGCATCCTCAACATCAGCAGTCATGAATGTGATTGTGACATTGCATGTCCTGCGTCACAAGCCCGGCCTAACGGGACACTTGAAACGTACATTTGATTGCAAAATATGAGGGACGACGACGATGCTGATGATGCGCAGGAGAATGATGAGCAGCATGATGATGAATCATGACGACGCGTCCCCAACATCACCAGCAGGAGTGATGACAATCATCACTACTCATCCCCCGCATCAGTGATGATGCCTCAGCGTCACCAGCAGTCATGATGACAATGGGGGCTTCGCATCTCCTGCATCTCAAGTCCGGCCTAGTAGCGGTGATGCCTCTCGGCGCGCATCACCATCATCGTCATCGTCGTCCATTCTTTTCGACGCACGTTTCAAGCGTCTCGCTAGACTGGGCTTGAGACGCAGACGCGTCCTCACAATTGTCATCACGACTGCGGGTGATGCTGAGGATGCATAGTGGTGATTATCATCATCGCTGGTATGGGGAATGAGTAGTATCTGCCTGAGAGAGCATTGAGGTGAATCAGCCAGGCGTGCTAGGGCCTGGCCAGTTCACAAACAAAAGACATGAACGTCTCCTCAGGATACGTCCACACATAGCTGTGTCTCAAGCGCTTGGACTGCTCGTCGCGCTAACACTTGCGGGGCTTAGAGGCGATGCGTCGTGACATGCAGCGCTCAGCCGTCGGCTCTGGTCTAGGAACTTCGAGACCACCTCAACAAAGTGCTCATGCTTACGAGGTCTCAGCGCCTCCACACACTTGCCACGCATGGGCCCGCGGCCGTCCCGTCATATGTCGCAGAATAACCCGCTGGCGCTGGGTGCGAAGCGCGCATATGTCGCAGAAGGAGCGGCGGCTACGCCTCGAGAGCTGCGCAGCGACGCGTGAGCTCATAGACTACGCTGCTGCAGAGGAATACGTTGCCGCACAGGTGCGCTGCAACGCAGGGTGTCGGTGGCAAACATGCGAGAAAAAATCGTCAAGGCGGCGAGCGGGTGTGCAAGGGACGCCTGATCGATCAAATGATCCACAGCGTAGGTCTGGCGAGGGATGTCGCCGAAATGAAAGAAATCGTCTTTCTAGTCCGGCGCGGCCCACGCCCTTTTGCCGCGCACGCTTATAGTCGCGGAAATGACCCACACCACGTCCCTCCAAGGCGGCGAGGACTTGTCGGCCTTGAGCACGGTTGAAACCGCCGCCAGAACGGACCAAAGCTGTTCCTTTTTCACGGCTGCAAGCTTGGGCATGGCCGCTAAGAGACACATGCTTTCGGCTACGTCACAGGGTGAGCCAGAAGGCTCTGGAAGCTGACAACCACCGTGGAATCACGCTCTGCGCCGTGCGCAACAAGCAGCAGCGGCACTGTCTCCGCGGGGCAGAATCTTCACCTCGGACGTGATCGGCAATGGGTTGAGGGGAGCTCAGCACACGCTGCCGCAATCGGACTTTGGATTAGGTACGAAAACGATGAAGATGTTGGAGGATTTTGTTGTTACGCTGGAGGTTGTCACTCTTCATTGGGAAGACGGCGCTCCCAAAAGGCCGGCGGGCAAGAAGGAAACGCTTTCGAACCAAAGCCATCAAGGCTATAATCTGCGACTTTCGAAGCATCTCGTTGGGCTGACTTCCTAGGATGTGTGGAAGGATGGGAGGTTCAAGTTGCCGACGCCGTCCAAGCTTACATTCAGGCACACATGCCTTGTTTCGTTCGTTTCCTACGTGGTCGACCGGCCCTGCATCAGATCCTGAACCTGCGTCTTCGTCTTTTAGCGAATTGTCGGCCAAGGCGAAGATGGTCTTACCCCTCTGCAGGTTCACCATTGGCTCGTTTGCCTGGGATGTAAGTCTCCAATTGTCTTCAAGGATATCTGGTTCTCCGCCTCTGGATGCATCAACCATCTGAGTGGTACGTTGTCGGCTGATGTTGTCAGGATCAGTTGGGCGTCCCTTAGCTCCTGATTGGGTGAACAATGCCTTTCGAGGCGTGATGAAAACGAGTGGTTCTTCTTGCCAAGTGTCCAATGACCCTGCTTTTGAGATCCGATTATCTTCGGAGTTGCTCTGTCCTCTTTCGTCTTGATGACTTGGACACGCTGCAAGCTTGATGCTGTCATGGTCGTCATGGACATGGTTGTTGAGGCAGAGCCCATGTGCCGGTCGGAGTGGCTGAGAGTGGTGGAGTGAAACATCCCATGAGATATCCAGCACAGATGCGACGATGGCAATCCATGATGAATATCAGCAGTATGAGGACGAAGCCATCCACGAGAAGCTGATCCAACCCGCCCGATACAGTTTCTGCACGCAACTTAACCAACGACAGCCTTTCGCTACCAACCTGGCACGTCATCCACCCGCCGCAACCCAACCTATGCAACCCTGGACAACGGATGTACAAAGTCCATGGGCAGCTGGCGCGCAATTCCCAGACTGTGATTTTCAATTTCTTCGGGCTTTGTTCCACCTTAGGGGGGGTCGTTGTCTTTGGGCGAAGGCGCAAAACAACTCAAGGGAGGGCTGACCGGAAGATCCGACTACCAATGGTGAAAGCCCTGTACTGCCAGCCCTCGAACATTGCCACAATGGAGTAACCGCTGTGGGTTCTGAGGACAGGGGGCGAATGGCGATCCAAACAAGCTGTTGCTGGTGGCTTGCGCGCATGATTTCGCAAGGGCAGGCCGCAAGGGAAACGTGAAGAAGGAATGGGGACTCCTTTGCGTCTATACTTAGGTCGCAACCAACTCAAAGAGGCTGCTACGCTGGGCGGCACTGTAACCTATGATGTGGAAAGGTTCTGGAAATCTCGGTGCAGAAAGTACAGGGACATATTCGCCAAGACACCTTTGCGGGATGCAAAGCATCAGCGCTCTCCATGCGCTTGTGACACAGTCTTGCTGAGCCAGCCGGTCACTAAATCTGCGACTGCGCAAGCGCTGGCCAACACGCTTGAAGACAAATCATGAGCAACCGTCCCAGCACACTCCGCAAACACCAACACAATGCCTTCGTTCTGTTTATCCATTGTTTCAACTAGAACCTCCTCCCTTCGAATCGGCCGACATTGCAACTAAGAGCGCACGTGCTGTGATTAGAAAGACAGAACACATTAGCCTTTGCAGCCGTCCATACATACCATGGCCAAAAGCAGCAGTAAAGTCATGCGAAGGCTGTTCCGGATGTTACCCATTAAGGGAGCAACACAAGCCTCCCGTCTGCCTTCTCAGGGTGATCCATTGATGCCCCCGCAACTCAGGGGCACAAGGATGCAGACTGAGAGGCGCTGGCAGCCTTGATCCAATCAAACGGCCAAACTGTTGGGCTTGCCAGGCTTGCCATTTGCGGCAGCTACTACAATTGCGCGCAAGATGACTCGCAAGCACACCCCGGCTCTTCCTTCACAAACTTCCATGAGGGGTAGACTTAAACAGCCGTGACACCCCAGCTGCTTGACTTCAAGCCCTGACTGACTAAGAGAAGGGCTGCAAGCGATATGTTTCTCATCGAATGACGTGGGTGTCGCGGGTTGCTCAGAGATCTCTGCCATGAGCAGCAGCACCCAAGATCTACCAAACAGCTGCAGCTTGCCAAACATGCCAAGAGCTGAGTGCCAGGACGCATGCGCGAAGAACGACTCGCTCTCTATGCCCAACCTCACACAACACGTGCGTCCCCTCCCCGCCACAAGTTTTCAAGGCTATCCCCCAAAAACTCCCCAACACAAGCATCGCAATCCAGAACAAGTGTCGCCCGTCTCTCTGGCCACCTTCCTGCTAGGGTCACCTCCTGCCTGGCACGGGAATCCCCCAACGTGACCAAACAGTCACGCAGCGGCTTCCTTGTTCAACAGTTGTGTGGCTGCGTTTCCTCTACAACAGTTGATGACCGGCCAAGATAAGTAGAACCCGTGGAGAAGGCCCAGCAAAGAGCCGCCCCTGTCAGCTAGCGAAAATGTTCAGCTCGATGCGTTTGAATTCTGCAGGGTTGGTACATGCGCGCGCGCGCGTCAAATGGCACGCCAACATTCCTCCAAGAGGCTGAACCAGGCCCATGTACTGGTTGGAGGCTGTCAGAATGGCAGGCCCAGCCTCAGAAGAAACCTTTATTTGCGTAAAAACCCCCATGCATCGTCAACAGTGTCATCCAAACACTTAGCGGGTATCAAACTTCAAAAAAGCAATACACAAGCCGCTACACCACTCCAGGCTGGGACTGCTATTTTGGTGCCAACGCAGTGGCCCTACAGGACAGCTGCCGTGGCCGCGGCCCAGCATTTGTGTAAATTGGATTGCTCCGAGCCGACTGGCAGGGAACGTTCAAGTAAACCTTCGAGGGCGTGAGCAATTTATAGGACACTACGTTGATCCCAGCCCTTGGACGTGACAGGATCATGTCCACCTACGAACAGTAAAGCTAGTGGCTACCCCTGATTAGGAACCCCTCCTGTCTCTGCTTTTGCAGCCGTTGAACCTCGCGCAATGTCACTTGCAACTTTGGCTCAAGGACCCTCACTCAGAGTAGCTATCAATGCTATTGCGAAAACCCTTGCGGCGCGCTCTCCGTGGTATACTATTGAAAAGGCTATTTACCAGCTAGCAACATCCATTGATCAATACATCCCTTCGTGTACATCAAAGGATCCTATTGAAATACATCCAGGGCCACAGAGCACCGATACCATAGCGCACACTTCCTCCTTACAGATCAAGAGCCCCAGTTTTTCGACTCAGTTGTGGTAGCGGAGCAGGGTTTTTCAGAAAGATCTATGCAAAATGTCATGGAGGCCTATTCCAGCGCAGGCTGATCCATCGGCATCGCTGAAGAGGCACTCAACTTTTCGACGACTGCCAAGCAGGCGCCACCGTAAGACGGGAAAGTCAGCTGGTTCAAGTGTGACGAACTTGTGGGTGATTGATTGGACGACATTCGCCACGATCGAAGCATCTAAAAGAGGACGCTTGCGTGTGCAAGGAAGCCCTCGAGAACGAATTGCGACAAGACCCCGCAGAACGAGTCAACTACTTCAAGAACGCTGAAGACATACTTCCTGAAAGGGACGGCCAACGTGTATCTGTACAGGCTTCTCAGTTTCTTGCACGCCTGACGCCCGCTTATACGGAAGGGTCAGCAGAATTTCTCGCACCCGTTCAAGACGCAAACGCAAAAAGAATTGCCCAGCACCAGCAAGCTGCCGGTGCCAGGGCACCGCCTCCAGGTCCCAGAAGTATTGAGACAGTACATCAACGGCACGCAGACAAGACGCAGGGACGCATTTCCACGACTGATCAGCGGGAAACATCTCACCCAAGAATTACTCATACAAGATGCTGAAGACAGAGTGTCACGACCTCTTCATCACGACCAGAACATCCGTCCAAGATCCATCCATCCGACCTCCAGGAAGCAACCGCAAAAACACATTCTATCCTAGAACAACAAAAACAAAGAAGAAGAATACTAGGGCATGAAGGATTCATGGTGACGGAAGATGAAGAGACATTCTGGGTCCGAGGAGAATGTTGCGTTCATTGCCAGAAAGTGTGTCTGGGCGAAATTTAAAATTCGGAAGAAGAAAAGGCGAAGGAAAATCCAGAATCAAAAAGGGCAGTCGCCGACGAGGTGGCTTCAAACCCTTTCGCAAGGGCAAGGCCACTCTGGCCAAAGAAAACTATGATCCTTACGACCAGGCATATTGGGGAAAAGGCACAGGCAAGAAAGGAAAGAAAGGAAAGAAAGGAAAGAAAGAAAGGAAAGAAAGGAAAGAAAGGAAAGAAAGGAAAGAAAGGAAAGAATGGAAAGAAAGTTCCGTTTTGGGGTTGGGGCTCTAGTGCTCCTCCAGCACGGCACCCTCTAGTCAAGAATGGGTCGGCTAGGTTGAAGGATTGGCTTAGGATTTGTTTAAGGCTGGTTTCGGGTTGGTTTAGGATTGGGTTAAGGTGTCTAGAGTTGGTTTAGGCTTGGTTTTGTAAAGTTGCTGCAAAGCTGGTTCGGGTTGGTTTAGGGTTGGTTTAAGGTTGGTGTAGGGCTGGTTTTGGGTTGCTGTAGGGCTGGCTTGGGTTGGTTTAGGGTGTTTAGGGTTGGCGAATGGCTGGTGAGAGTTGCGGGTTGAAAAGGGCTGGTTTCGGGCTGGTTTTGGGTTGGCCTTGGGTTGCTGTACAGCTGGTGCGCGTTGGTTTAGGGTTGGTTTAGGGCTGGTTTAGGCTTGGATTGCGAATTGGTTGGGTTGAATTGGGGCTGGTTTAGGAGCGCTAGAGTAACATCACTAGATGGATAAGCAGCCGAGAACCAAAAAAAAGAGCATTCTTGTGGCTGCGCTGATTAGGTACTGGAGCAGTGCTGGGATCACTGGATGAGCATTGAAGAGCACTCAAGGTTGAGCTTGTTCAGAGGTTGTGGCTGCTGGAAGAGCCCCGGAAGTGCAAAGGGTGCTGCAAGATTACCAGAGGAGCACTACAGGAGGTTGTATGGCGGGGCTCCGGCCCCCTCTAGTCAGGGCAGATCAGGGCAGGCTAGCTTTGGGTTGGTTTAGGGTTGGTGTAAGGTCGGTTTAGGGTTGAGTGGTTGGAGCCTTGGAACAGCAGTGAGGAGCACTTGCTAGAATAGTTGAAGGGTTGGCTTCGAGCCTTTGTCCAGAGGCGAGAAAACGCATGTCAAGAAAGCGTGTTTCTGACCCCCCCAAAAAAGTGTCAAAACTGCATGTTTTCCGCAAAACAAAGATCTGGAAAAATGCATGTTGGCCGCTAAAAAAGCAGCTGCCTTTTTCTGCAAGAAACCCAGTATGTGTCCGAGACAGCGCTTGCTTTTCTCAGAAAATTGTCGAGGAAAGTGCGTGTCTTTGGGAGAATCCAAAAACGAATGCACTTGTTTCACTAAATCAGCATGATAGAGCATTTTTTCACAAGTACAAGTGCATGTGTTCAAATGAAACATGAACACTAGCTGTGTGACACACGCAATGTTTCTTGAACACAAGCGTACTCCAGTAACATTTACCTAGTTCTGTTGTCAGAACATAGTACTCATCTCTTTGGCACTTGCTGGCCACTTCATGGCAAGACACGCATCATCGGTTACCCTGATGCATCCTACAGCAAAAATGAGGACAAGTCATCCCGACGCGCGCGTGATGTCTTTCCTGCTGAAGAACAGGATCTTCGCAAGGGCTCACCGAACGGGTCCTCTGATCGAATATGAGACGCATAAAACCACCGACGCAACACAATGTCCACCACAGCTGCTGAATTGCACAGGACTGATGCGTGGGTACGGTTCGTCACTGTCACTTTTCTTCGCGGCCTCTGGTCAGACATCACAGGTGAAATTACGCATCCAAACCGATGCAACAATCTTGCTACAACTGCCTCGACAACCCAAGAACCTGAGCGGAAGGAACCGGTGCATTTGATACAAATGTTGCGGAAGGAAAGCTATAGCGGTTGCGCATGTACGAAGTGAAGAGTGCCTCGCAGATTTTTTGGCCAAACATTCAGCCAAAGCAGATGAGCTGATCAAGGCAGTCCTGACCGGCAACCGGCGCGGGTCTTCGCAGGAGTCGGGATTGCAGAGCATAGGCTTGCTGGTTGGTGAACATGAGCATGCTCTTTGCGACTGTGCATGAACCGCTGGGTTTCCGACACGCCTCTCTTTTTAGCCTTGATACGCGCAGCGAATACTGCTATGCCGAAGAGGCGCTGATCCCCTTTGCGATCCTCGCCTGATAAGAAGTCAGCAACTTCCACATGAGGGACTACAACGAAAAACAGCCCGCCACATCTCATCCACAGCGCTTTGCCATACAAGGAAAGGACGACATGGCGCAGCAAGCGAAGATGGAGCCGTGGATGCTATCTACTATCGACCATGCCGTGAACTTCCTGGGCAACAATTCTATTCCTCACGACGGCGTTCCCTCGGCGTGACAAATCGAAATGCGAGATCGCGTTTGTGTTTCCATCCTTTGATGGCACGCACGAGGGAACACAGCAGCGGAATCAGATCGCGGCGCCGCACAAATGGATTGACAACATCATCTGCCCACCGAGCACTTCGTTCCGGACACAAAGATGCAAATGAATCTTAGAAGAACAAGATTGGGGCCTTCCAGCCAAGAGCACCAAGGATTACGGAGAGTATCCAGGGGCTCGCCGGCCAGCTCCTGAATCCACTGTTTCGGAATGCACGATAGCCATTTTAAACAACAGTGAAGAAAGCAAAACACTTTTTTGGGGAGGCGCATTCTTGCAGAAAACTTGAGGCGGGGTTGAATAGCGACTTAGCATTGGTTGGCTGAAGGGCAGACTAAGCAAATACTAAGCAAGAAGGGAAGCCCTGTTGTGGGAGGCGGGTTGGGTTTTTTTGGCACCTTGTGTGCCCTGTACTTGAGTATTGGTGCGGAAAAGAAGAAACGTTTAATTGGGCCGGGGGGGGGGGGGGGGCGCTAATCGCGAGCTGACATTCAGCTTTTCCCAACTGCAGATATGAATTCCCGTAAATGAAGCTAACCTTTTGGATCCGGCAGAAACAAATATTTTTCAAAAACTTTTTTTAAAAAAAAGCACCGTGCCATGGCTTCGAATGAGTCTGACATTCGGCACACATTTGATGAGTTCCCTGCAAGGGAGCTAATCGTCATGAGTGAGCCGCCACTCCCCAGTTTTGATTGGTTTTTGCCCTAAAGAGTCCTGACCCCAATTTCATCCCATATCTTTACTCAGGGTCAACGGCCTGGACCCTGACGCCGGTTGTGTTTGCGTGGGATGCAATCAGACCTGCGTTCAAGAACATGCGTTGGCCTTGGGTTTGCGTGGCATTCAATCCTTGTCTTTATTCAAGGTGTTCCCCCTTGGCAGTTGCATAGATTGCAACCAGACCTGCGTTCAAAGGCCTTGGGCTTGCAAGGGCTTCAGCCCTGTAAAGCTAGAATGCAGCAACCATCAGGAGTCAGACGATCACGGGCGCTTTGTCATTGCCTACTGAGGGTGTCGCGTCATCAGTCCCGTCAGGGGATGGTCATTGCAATTCGTGCTGAAGTTCCTGCGTTGCCGATTTCTGCCACGCTGCATTTTCTGATTCCAGGTAACCACACTCCGCGCTGATGACACCCTTGCCTGCGACGGCGCTTGTTATCAGTGCTCCTGGTTGTCCATGCGCCAAACTCCCTGCCCTTTCTGACACTGCTCTAACTTGCCTTCCCTGCCATTCATGATCTTCACTCCCTCTGAACCCTTCTTCTTGGCATCATTCAATTTCAGCTTGCCTTCCGTGTCCTTCAGCTGCTTCACAGTTGTTTTGTTGATGGCTTTGCAATCAATGGCTTGAGCGGGCTTGCTGCTTGCTGACGGCTTCTCCTTCAAGCTAGCTTTCAACACTGGTTTGCAAAGCTCATTCCTCCCCTCTTGCAGCTCATTCAGCAATTTGTTACTCATGGGTTTCGTGGCTGATAGCCTGGCGAGAGCCTTCTGCTGGGATAGCTTCCTGGGTTTTGCGCAACGCTGCGCCAAGGGCCGCTTCCATAAAACTGCTCATCGCTGATGTCTTGCTAAATATCCGCGTCATCTTTTGGCCCGAGTCCACCCGTCACACTGGCGACCAGAGCTCCCAGAACGGCTCATCAGCCAGGTTTTGGCTTCTAAACTAATCTCAGCTGGGCCATGGAGTTGCTACCACTCACAATCATGTGTCAACTCAGCTACGCTCTCTAGCTCCAAGCCCCCTTCTTCTGTGATGCGCCCAGTCCTCATCACCGCGTCTTCCAACTCCTCTGGGTTACTCGCGACATTGAACTCTTAAGTGCGACCAACAACCCGCCTCAGCGCTTTCTTCGACCCACTGTTTTTCTCATCGCCTCCCTAAAACGTGGCCCTCCTATGTCAAACCCTCCACCCACCCAACGCAGCGCTCGAGTCTCTAAGTCTGTTCTTTATAGCAACCAGCGCCAATCCCTAAGCAATGGTTCAATGATGCTCCTGTTCTTAATGCGTTGGCTGAGATTGAATGCGATCTGAGATTGCCTGCAACTTGAGCAACCTAACAAGCGTTGCGTCTGAGCCCCTCTCACGGTCCCTCATGACCAAGGATTCATCTCATGATGGTCATGGTGCCCTGAATTACTCATGATGCCTCGCTTTCTCCCAGGCTCAAAGCCTCTGACCAACAATCCCAGGCCATCAGCAGCTGGATCCAGCACCACTCAAGCGCACGCTTGATGGTCAATACGTTGCTTGCATGCCGGCTCCTTGCGCCATCAGAAATGCACAACCAAACAAATTCCATTGCTGATGCATTTCATCATTTGCTGTCGCGCCACCGCATGGCTGCTTCATATTCAGCTTCTAGAAGGCTCTGGCACACCTCTTCGTTGCACTAATTTCAGAGTAGATGGCTCAACCCCAGTTGCAAAAAACGGTAGATGGCACATGGGGCCGGGGCTCCGCTTTTAATAGTAGATGGCGAAAGTCTTTCTGAAAATTGGAACGGAGCCATCTACTATTGACAAAAATAATGCGCTTCAAAAGCCTGCGCCATCTACTTTTGACAGCCCGGAATCATTGTGTTTCCTAAGTCGTTAAATCGAAATCCTTGTTTTCAAGCTTGAACAATGGTGAAGTTTTCCTAGGAAAGGAGCCCCAGCCCGCCAGGCGCAATCCCAAGAATTGGTTCTCCTGGCCAGCTAGGGGCCGGGCAGAGCAGCCCGGCTCGGGTACTTAATGTAGCATTGCACATGCTAGATGTAGCAATGCAAATTCTACAATGCAAGCTCTACATACTTTTGGTTCGAGTGCTAAACTTAACACTGTGCTAAAATTTGCGCATGCCCTGCAACAAAATTCTGGAAAGATTTGGCAATTCGACCCCTCCGATACCTTAAAGTAAAAAATTTTTTGTACAAAATTAGTATTGCCAGTGTTAAAGTTAGTATTTCCAGCATTTTGGTATTGCCAGTACTAAATTTAGTCGTGCCACTGCCTAATTGCGTAGTCGTGCGACATGTTTTTTGTCCTGGCCACGTGGGTTCAGAAAAACCGGAAAGAGTTGCATTCTGGTCCGATAATTTTCCGGTATTTGAAAAATCTCTGTTTGTCAATGGTTGTCAATGGTTGATGGCACTCCCCCCCGACGCGTTGAGCAACCTACTCTCAAGTCAGACATGGGTGCTGATGACTCCTAGCCAAGCCTCTTACGCTTCTCCTGCTCAGCCATCTTCCTCGTCTGATGTTGCTTAACGATTTATCCTGCTGCTTGCCTGCTGCTCAAACTGTTGATTTGTCAGGAGCAAGCTTATCAGATGACCGCTTGCTGCGGCGCGTCCTGTCCATCTTGCCAACCCGGAGGGACCACATTGGCTGCCTTGGTGGTTTGTGAAACAGCTCATGAACCACATCATGCACGTACAAGCTAATCAATAGTTATGGACGCTTGCTTAATCCGAGCCACCCCGCTTCCTCCATGCTGACATCAATGGCAGCTTCCGCCTTGATCAACTTGCGCATCTTGCTCCCCAGTATCGCCCTCGCTCGCTAATCTCAAGCACTTGCTAGTAGATTGACTAATCCAGGCTCCGGATGGACTTGCTCATTCCTCCATTCCTCTCGGGTCGCATTCTTTCGGACGCTTTGCGCGCGGTTGCGGGCATTCCTCTGTCAGGGAACGCACCGTCCTCATCAGCAGCAAATACCTTAGTTGAAAACAAAAGAATCGAGCGTTCCTTTAACTGTCATCTAAGTACTTACCCTAAGCTGCTGGATCTGGAGCTGCGCGTTGAGGGGGGCTGTCTTTATAGTCAAAGTCGGCTGCGTAACTCTCTTTGGTGATCCAATGATGCACTGAAGGGGGAACATGTATTGCCAGGACCATTGCAGCGGTTAATCATTTTGCTGACTCTGAGGCTTAAGCCCTTGGATCACGCAAGCCAGGGTTGCGCTGCCCCCAGCACTGTCCCTCAACTGGTAATACATCATGGTGCATCATCATGCGTTCGACACTTACCATCATGCTTCACTTTCCTTTTGTCAGCATTCAAGTCGCCATAGGCATGGTCCATGCCTCAGGTTTCCAAGAACCTGTTTCTAACTTCAACCAGCTCCAACTTGGATGACCGGTTGGGCTTGTAAGTGCTTGCAGCCGGTGCAAGAGATGGTAGCTAAGTTATAACATCACGAACATATGTTATCACCAGCCGAGAGAGAGATACACGTAGCGCAACAACAACATCAACGACTTGATGCGCAGACTTATAAGTACGTAGTGAGTAGCACGCGAAATTTCTGAAGATAGAAGCGTTGGCCGTTGAACTTGCGACGCGGTGTTGCAACTTAGTTGCGGTAATTATCACTATTTGGTTTGGTTGAAGTTACATAAAGTCTCAGCTACGTCGCTGAAGTTATAACTTCGACTTGGCCCACTTACTATCTTCTACCGTTTGGCTTAGTAAGTTCGGCGCTTTGGGCTTAGCAAGGCCGAAACGCTGGCGTCGCGCGGCGGTGAAATCATGCGGCGCAACTTCCCTGCAGCGGTCGGGCGTGTTTTTTTTACACTGGGTGTTTCAACAAGTAAGGGCGCCGGCCGGCGAGCGACGGCGCGTCGATTGCGTGGCTTGGCGCGCTTGGTTTTCTCCCCAGCCGTATAGGCATTCCGCAAAAACACGCGCATTCGCAAGTGTAGCATTGGGTCTTCCCACGCAAGACAGTGTCGCTGGAAACAATAGTTGGCATATTCAGAAGTGGTTTTGGCACATGTCCGTGGCTCAAGCTGGCTTCCATCTGCTGCAGAACGTCTTTGCGCTTGTTTGTGGGCCATGTTTTGAACTCGCTTTAGGCTTGAAAGTTACATGGTCAACTTTTTGTGGTCGCGAAGATGCATCTTGTGAGTGTGGAACTTGCGTCGAATCCTGATGCTTCGTGGAGGATAGCTCAGGGCCTGAAAACCAGCTGCACTCGTGTCATAACAAGAGCGGCTGCGGCTTTGCCTGATGAGCAAACTCACGTTGTCACTGCTCTACGTTTGAATATAGCGCCAAACGATGCTAAATCTAAGACGAAATCATTTTGCCATAGTGATGTTGAGCCCATTTGCTTGCGAAATTTGCAAGGTGTTGACAGAAACACGCCTGCAACCTGGCGTCTGCAACACATGCGTGCAAAGCCACCAGTCTGCCTCACTTAGCCCGAAGCCTGCTGATGGATGGCCCATGCTGGACGCGTACGGCGCTAAGCAAATCGTGTCATTGCTGCTCCGGTTATGGACATGGCTGCAGTGCCTAGCTGAAGCCCTGCTGGAACGCCTGCAGACCCACGCCCCTTCGTGGATAATTATCACGCGCAGCCCTGCTGAGTGTCACGCTCAATTTTTCCTGGGATACTTGCAAACCCGTGCCTTTCTTCATGGATACCATGCTGAATTCCTGCTACATGCATGCCAGCCCGCGCAAACCCTCATGGATTGCACCCTCATTTCCTGGATTGCACGCCGGCCCACGCAAACCCTCTTGCGACGCGCGCAAAACTTCTTGGCCCAATACTACTTTAGAGTTTGCCCAACTCTAAACTAGTATTCCCCCCAAACAAAGCAAGAAAAAGCAGCACGGGCAACACTACTTTCAAATTGACCGAAGTCTAAACTAGCAATCGGACACCAGCCCATTACAAAACACCAGCTAGACTTTTCCTGACCCTCAAATAAATGCCCCGCCGTAACTTGATTTGAGGGCAAACAGGAGGGGGCTATTTAGTAGCCATAGGTGAACATTACCACGCTGACATCAGGGGGACCTTTTGGTTTGGGACGCATCCTGCTGACCAGCGACATCCAATGTCTTCAAGCGCTCCCCTTCGTAGCCGAGGCACCATCATTCGAAAGGGCACGCCCAAATGGTGAAACGCCAACTGGTAAACGTCCTGCAGTGGACAAAGCGGCAAAGGTGGACACGCTAACAGAAATTCAGCTTTGCCGCAGTTGCCCCTCGAAATTCCCAGGCGCCAACTGGCCGTGACAAGACGCACCACCCTTGCTACTTGAGCTTCGCATGGTGGTCCGGCGCCTTGTCACCGTAGCCGCACATCAAGTCCTGGCTCTGGAAGTACAGGTCCTTCAACTGGGTAAATGGCAAGGCTTGCGGACTCCGCGCTGCCACTGACAGGAAATTCTGACCCTATATGCATTTGTTTCGGGAACATCAGAGTCCGACCAACCACTGCCCAAACAACCGGCGACAGAACCGGCCAGCAGTCATCGTCAACACTAGATGTGTGTAGATGAGTGCTGGGTGTCTGCCGCGCATCCCTGGTTCGTAAGACCTACAAATCTAGCAGCACGGAAACCAAATTCTGCAACACACGGCTGCCCGCTTGGTTTGCCTGGATGCTCTTGGCACAGGCGCGCGCTGATCATCATCATCGTCAACATATTAGCACCAGAAGCAGCAGCGCCAGCGCCAAAGTCAGCAGTACAATCATCATCAACATTAAATGCGTGTGGCGCATGTGGATGCGTGCTGGGTGTCTGCCACACGTCTCTGGTCCGTAGGGCTTACAAGCCTAGCAGCGTGGAAACAAAATTCTTCAGTAAACGGCCGTCTCCATCACCATCCTCATCAAAATAATCATCAAACAACTCATCATGATCATGATCATCATCATCATCACCATCATCATCATTTGGGAAGAGATGGGCTGGGGAAGACAGCACTATGTCTGATGGTTTAATAGAAATACGCACAGCTGCCTGCTCAAAGTATCAACGCTGTATGTCCTCCAAAAACAAATCCCAGCGCACTGCCAGAAGGCTGGCTAGTAGAAGGGCCCGCCGCACCTGCGCAAGCAGCAGTGTGCTCCAACGGTCGCCAGCCAACTGCGCTCAGCTCACAGCAACATGCGTCTCCTCAAGCAGTTGGCAAAGGTTGAACCGTGAAATTTCTGCCTTCAATCAGAAAACAACCTCCAACATTGCAATGGTCATTCGTGATACGCGTTGTCGCATGACAATGCTCTACAGTACATGACATAACATACCATACACACATCACATACATCACACGCGTTGCTTACGCTACATACAGTACGCATTACGTAAGATTACACACATTGCATCCGCGCCATTGCAGTACACTGTGTGACATTACGCTACAATGCTTAGTTTTACAGCACATTGCAACACATGACAATACAAAGCAATTACACACATGCATGCATACACACACCATACGTACAAACAGACAGACATACACACATACATACATTCACACACACATACAGACACTACACTACACTACACTCCACTTCACTACGCTGCGCAACACCAGAGCTCTTGTGTCCTTTTAGGGCCACCCTTTAGGACTCATGGGCGCGGAACCTTCGCCATCTCACTGCTTGCACGGTTGCAGTGTGCAGCATAAGGTCCCGGAATTGCAGGTTTGCTTGCTCATGATCGCCGCTATAGAAATCGTACCCTTGACACGGCCAATGGTTTTGGCTCAAGTGAGCAAAGTCTTTCCTGCACAGGCGCGCCATTCGCCCTGAGCATCTATGCGAGACTCGCTGCGCTGCTACATCCACATCGTGCACGCGGAGTTTCTGCCGCGCCAACACTTTGGACAGCTTTGCGGACGTGTCTCGTCAAGTGCCAGGAGAAATGCGGTTGGAGCTGATCCGCTCAGGAGCGGTTGAAACGCCTGGCAGCATGGAGGCGCAGTGTGCCAGGAGACCTCAACCTTGAAGCGCATGTTGATTGGCTCCGACACTTCGAAGCGCCAGGTCAGGGCTGAGCTGTTGCTCAGGCATCCGGCCGCTGGCAAGCACCTGGTGGGTCAGCATGGTAACCCTATTTTGGGTTCAGCTTTGGAAGGCACAAGATCTCACGGAGCGGCTTGTCCCTAACAAGGATTGCGCCCAGGCCATCCGGATTTCCCCCACTCGTGTTCAACCATGCTGCGAAGGTTTCCGGGCGGGCAGCCTTACGGTTCCAAACCGCTTGACGAAAAGGTCGACCGGGCTGGCCCAGACCATGTCGAAGTGCCCCGGCGGGAACGCCGTGTAGTCCCAGCTCCGGATGTCGCAGCTCAAATTTCGACACGATGTCCAGTGTCCAGGGAGATGACTTCCCATCGAAGGCCCTGCCGACCGACTTCGCGCCGCAGAAAGGCTCCAGCAGTCTCGGCATCTTTTTTAAAGATCAACAATACGACGAATGCGAAGGCGACGGCGCAGACTCGCACGTTCATCGGACCGGACTTCTTTCTCCACGGGATAAAAAGAGCCAAACTTCGCAAACATGAAGCTTGCACCCGGGCGGAGTCAAGAGGCGTCGCCAGTGCAGGCTTCGTGAGGCTGCAGAGCCGCTTCACAGGACGCGGCAGACTGCTTCCAGGCGGATCAAATCACGCGCCACTCCCCGAGCCTCAATCCAAAACGCAGCGGCGCAATCCGCCTCAGACGTGTTTGGCCCCTCGTGCCCCCGCCGACCAAGCCCTTTAACGACCCGATCGCGACGCCAGTCTTCACTCAGCCTTTCACAGCTAAGCTGCTACGAGTAGCCGTGTACATCCGTGGCAAGGCTGGTGAGGAGCCACAAGGACTGGCAGGTCAATTTCAACTAGATCTACGAGAACAGCACCGGTCTGCAGATGCTCGACAGCCCGGAAGGAGGGCTCAGATCGAAGAGCAGTGAGTTGCAGGTTTACCATGTCGCGGCGCGCCTGAAATAAGTTCGGGGGGCGACACAGGTTCTTCTCATTGGCTGACTGACAATCGGCGCCTTGGCGTTATGGGAATGGAACCTTTGTGCACATGGTTGCAGTGTGCAGCATGAAGTCCCGGAGTGGCAGGCTTGCATGTTCCTTGACAACTGTTTGGCCGCAATTATCAAGGTCGGAGGCCGTACGGCCGTGAAGCCGTGAAAATCCCGTATGGCCTCGATCGTCCCAAACACGGGCGTTTAAGGCCGTGAACACACTTCGCAGCGGGCACGCAGGGTGTCAGCTCTTTGCAGAAGTGCACGTGCTAAGCCATTGGGCGGTGACGCTCGCTGCGCAATAAATTTGTGGCGGGAGACAACAATGCGCAAATCGCCTGCGCACAACGGGCGGCGATGCCAGAGTTGACAATGCTTAGGCTTTCATACTCGGTTGTCATGGGGCCAAGTGGCATGAGAGACTTCTGGGGCATTTTGGCTCAAGACCACTTTGTGCTCGGGAGTTCCCCTTTTTGCTTGGGTTGCCTTCTCGTGCACTGAGACTGTCTATTCTGCAATTGGGGGCTGGGCTGCTAGCTAAGCAGTCTTGTGGGCCTAATACTCGCTCACACACTTCAAAGCAGTCCCTTGCCTAACTGTTTTGTTGTTTGCTTTTGCGTCGCGAAACCGATCGGCCAAGCCCATCTTACCACTAAAGCTTGGCATGTGGGGTTATCCTGTCCTTGAATTCTGCAATCGAAGGGAAACCAACAAGAAAACCACCGTTTTAGGGGTTGCCAAAAAACTAGGCAAACCAATATAATCTTTTCAGTGCCCTTATGCCACACACCTCGGCCAAACGGGCTGCGCCGAACTCTAAAACCAACGAAGGTGAGGCCAAGGTAGGCGAAGCCCTGGAATTTGGGTTAGGCTGGACGGCCAATCAGGGTGGGTGGCGTTTTGCCACAGCCCCCTGTTTCCCAAACGCGTTGGCTTTTGATGTTTCCTAGTTGATAAAAGTCCAGGCCAGGAAAGCATTTACCTTGATAGTTTTAGCTATGCCCTTTGCTTCCCCTGCGCATTTTAGGAAAGTCTTTTTCAAGAAGTTATCCCCTAGCCAGGTGAGCGGTGACGAAAATTAAAAGGACAAAAGGTCACAATATGGGCCCGCAAGCCGCGCAGCTTCCACAACCTTCCACAGTGTGGGTTTTTGCTTCCGCGCACACGTCTAGCTTCTGCGGGCTTCCGCGGGGGCCAAACATCGGGCTTCGGTCGATCAACAACAAGAACTGCTCAGCTTGCCAGAGCAACACCGCAAATGCGCGTGTGTGAATGAAAACTATGTCCAGGGTCAGCCAAACAACGAACGACCCCGCATCCTGCTCTGTTTAGTACAACCCAGCAAAGCAAGGGACCCAAACAAAAGGTTTTTGTTTGAGCTCAACAAATCGCACTTACTTTGCCTTGACAAAAGAAGGGGGCCGTATCCAAAAGCGATTTGTTTGAGCCAAACAAAGTGCTGTTTTGTGCACGGTGCCGGGGCCATTTTGTTTCAGCTCAACAAATCGCAATGGCTTTGCCTTCAAGGCGGCGCCAAATGTTTTAGCATTATCGAAACGCCATAGAACTCACAACCTTGACACGGTCAATGATTTTGGCTCTCGCGCAGCTTCTAAGTCTATGCTGCGCAGGCACGCCATTCGCCTTGAGGCATCTGCGCGAGACTCAATGCGCTGCTACATTTACATCGTGTCGGCGGAGAAGAGGCTCTCTACGAGCCGCTGTTTAGGGTCGAGCGTCAGCCTTCCTTACAGCACACACACACACGCATACATATGTCGCAACACTAAATTGCGTGAGCTACACTTGGGCAACAGGTAGGACCCTGAATTTACATTGTGCAGAATCCAGGGTTTCCCCGCTCCATGCAGCGCTGAAGCGGCTTCGGAAGCGCGAGGCTGGCACTTGCGCGGCGCCCTCTTGCTATGAGACGCTGTCAAAAACATCGCGGGGAATTCCTACCACTATTCCTATCGCCATTATCTTGCGTGAGGTGTGTTTGGGGCTGCGCACGGCAACACAAAACTCATGAAAAGCGCAACTGACTTTGCAATTAGGTTTCCTACGCTCGCAAAGTGTCATACATGTCCCGTTGCGTTTTAACTGGAAAGAACACGCAACTGCATACACTTTGTCGTTGAGCGTTGCGCCGGCCATTCAGCTGGACAAC